TGAGTATATCTTGCACCACATTTTGAATCTTACTACATTTCCAAAAATGGTCAAAGGTTTCTTCTTCTATTTTACAAAAATTACATCTCCAATTTTCATCATATAGATCTGGCTTTCGCTTTTTTAAATTAGCACAAGTTGGTAATTCATTACAGCAAATTTTTTAATCCTAAATGATTGTAAATAATGATCCTCAAACAATGTATCATATTGATTTATATTTTCCAATCTATCAACCTTAATAAATCTGATTGTCTATAAACTTCATTATGGTGTAGCATTAGGAATTCTTCTATAAATTGAGCGTCCTTTATTCCCTTTATCATAAGGATAGGGTTACGTTCTATAGGCATATTTCTCCAACAAACCGTACCATTGTGTAATAACAATTTATCCTCTATTATTAATACATTTTTCTCAGCATCAGATTTAGCGAGTTTATCTGCTTCTTTGTTATAATCACAATCACTATGCGCTTTAACTTTAGTTATCTTTACTTTGAGACTATAGATCCTAATTATCTTGAATAAACATAACCATAAAACCTTATAATTAACTTTTAATCTTTCTATATCTTTAATCGTTAAAAAATTTAATTCATCAAATGTATTAACCACCCATTGAGAATCACTATATATTTCGACATTTGCAGCTTTAGGACAGGTTATTTAACTTAAAATTACTGCCATTAATTCAGCCTTATTAGATGAAGGATTATCTGTAATTCCACAATTAAAACTTTTCTTTATAGGAGCGCTAATTACAAACGTACAACCCATTATTATTTCGTTAGTCGCTATATTTTTCATTGACCCATCTGTATAAATCTCTATATCAGTTTCTTGCATTAAACTATTTGCAATTTCTATTATTAACGCATTACGATAATCACTTGAATGTATATATTTTAACAAACCATTCACTTTTTCAATAATACATTCATTCATAGATGTTTTTCTGTAGTATTTACATTCTGCTTGAGCTAACGTCTCGTAAATAGCCATATCTGCTATATAACGATCATTTTGAATTGAATTTGCATTAACTTTAACACAATTCTCTATACTAATATCTGCTATACACCTTACTTTAGTGTTATTTCTTTTATTTCTGATCTGATTCGTTTTCACTTCACATCCTCCACATTTTTTAAGGATTGGTAACTGTACTGATGGTGATATTTGATCATTTTCTAGGTCTTGTATCCAATGTTCTATACGAATTCTGTCCTCATTTGGATTATCTAAAACACGTCCTATTATAGGTTTACCTGTTTGATCATGAAAGGTTGTTATCCAATTTTTTGTTTTTAAATTATCAATTTTTGTATTTACACTATGTATATTATATCCTAATTGATAATCAGTTTTCACTTTCTTAGATTTTAAAGGATCTTTAATAAGTTTGGTTTCTATAAACTTGAACCAACGAGGGATCTACCCTGTGTATTTATCTTAGTCCTGTATTTTAAATCTTTATATCTCAGAAGACGTATACCATCTGACGACATCAACTGACTAACGAAATAAACATTTTTTCCTTTCAGTCCCTTACTAATTCCATTTGAAAATATTTCTTTATGTGTACATATTTCTACTATTGGTAATAATCCCCCTTGAATCTGATTAACTTTCACACCACTTGATTTTATGGTTAACATATTGTCGTATAAAAGTGCTAAAACATGAGCTAATAAACAGTGTTTTACTTGTAAGTCTTTCAGACTGATATTCTATGTTGCTAATGGAGATTTATTAGACAATAATTCACTTTGCAATTGTTTACAATCTATTTCAAAAATATCTTTCATCATACCCTTTGATATCACTTGATTATATAATCTACTTAACTGTCTTTGAGCTTGAATCGTATTAATATCTTTAATAGCGTAGCCCAATGATGAATGTATAATACTATTAGGAGTAGTAAGTGGCAATGACGCTTTTCTTTTAAACATATATCTACAAGTAGAATTTAATTTTTCTGTTTGAGAATTTGTCCAAACTAACAATTGTGCTTTATAATCAACACGAGGAATGATCACGTGATTATATATATATTTCATCTGCAAATCCATTATTTGTTTGAAGCTAATTGTTTTATTATATCTTTTAATAATATCCTTGCACTGATTAAGCAATATCGCAACTCATTTTTTATATGATTTTAATAATATAAAAATTGTATTGCAATATTGCAATGCACTTTTTTTATAATTTATAATTACTTAAAAAGAATGTCAAAAAATCACCGGTGGTGATTTTCGCCGGTATAATTAAATCATGTGATTATGCGTATGTGTTACAAGTTTGACTAAATATAAATACGTGATAATGTGATATGCGTGACTATGTGAAACATCGTGACCATCATCAGTATTGATGCCAAAATTGGCAAATTACAACGAAGAATATGTATAATTAAAACAAATTTATACGTGTTTTCTTTTTTTTATTTTATTTAATCACAATCACAGAAATACTTTAATCACAGAGTTACAAAGTACCAGAATGGATAAAAATATGCACAAACGTTCCATTTTTGATGTATATTCCTCAGAAGAGGAGGAGATTTCAGATGTTAACAAGCTACAAGAAGATTTTGAGAGTGAAAGCACTTTGTCAAGTTCAAGTATTGAAGATTCTAACAAAAAATGTGCAATACTTGGTTTAGAAAAAGGTGATACATTTGAAGATTGGGAATTAGCTGAAAAACAAGTTAAAATTTATTCAAAGGTAGTTGGATTTGGAGTTGTAAAACATCGTCTTGAAAAAAATAGTCATGGTGAAGTTATACGTCGAACTTTTGAGTGCCAAAATTCAGGTGAATATTGCGCAAAGAAAAGAGCTGATATAGAAGAAACCCGTGAACGGGATAGTGTGAAGATAAAATGCTCATGGAAGGTTAATCTTAACTATAATAAAGGTATTATACGAATTACTTCTATACACAAAGAACACAATCACCCACTATATGGAAACGGGAATAGAAACATAACATTAGATCGCTGTCTCAACCCAGAAATGCTTGAAGAAATAGAATTTCTTGTTAATATTGGCTGTGGAGCAGGTCCAATAATTCGCATGCTTCAAAAACGGTTTCCTGATACAACAATTCACCCCAAAAATGTATATAATGCAATTTGTCTTTTTTGATGTGATCAAAAACTAATAAAAACTGATGCTGCTGAAACATATGATAAGTTAATGAAAATGCAACGTGAAGATAATGGCTAGTTTGTAGAAGCAAGAGTAGAGGGTGATGATAATCATCTTACCGGTCTTTTCTGGATGAGGCCATCCCAAATTGAATTATGGCAAAAGTTTCATGATGTTGCGATAAACGATAATACATCTCAGACAAACAAGTATCGAATGTACTTGTCCCTTACAATTGTTATTGATAATCATGCAAGATCAAGAATGGCTGCTACGGCTGTAGTTTCAGATGAAACTAAGGATACTTATCAGTGGATTCTTGAATGTCTTTTATGTGCCACAAATGGTCTTGCACCAAGAGTATTGTTTACAGATGCAGATGCTGGTATGGTTGCCGCTATTCATGAGACTCTTCCATCAACAAAATATAACTATTGCATTTGGCATTTACGAAAAAATCTTGAGAAGAATTTAAAAGGGAAGCTTCATAAAAAATATAATGATTTTATAAAAGAATGGAATAAATGCCGAAACAGCTTCTCTGAGGAAGAATTTCAAAAACGGTGGCATGAGCTTCTCACAAACTATCCAGAAGCACAGAAATATCTTGAACGTGCATTAGGAACTGATGTGACTGGTTGGGCCTTATGTTTCACACATCGATCATTTAATGCAGGTGTACAATCGACGCAACGTGTCGAAAGTTACAATGCATTAATTAAAAAATCCGTTGGAAGATCCACAACATTATACGAACTAGATACTCAAATTCAATTACAGCTTGATAAGGAAGAAAAATTTGAGCGGCTGGAAGAACAAATTAATCAAAATCCAAGAGTTGGTTTACCTAATATTATTGAAAGATATTTCAAGCGAGTTGATAGTATCATCAAAAAATATCTTACGCCACATGTTTTAAAAATGCAACGTCACCAGATGAATGAAAGCTTACTTTACCGTGTGAAAAAAATTGAGAACTGGGAACTTTTACTTGAACATAAGGTATGAAGTCAAGAAATTAATTTATTATTGTTTTTTGGATATGCAAGCCATCAAGTCTATAACATACAAAATAAATTAATTTATTGATTTTTAAGCTTGCGATTTTTCTTTATTTACGATTTTATTTACAAAACACTAAAACCTAACTAATCATTACTTCTAATTACATTAATACTTCATACTTATCTATTATTCATTTCGTTTAGGCTTATGATTTTGATGAAAAAACAAATAGTACATCTAGTCGAAACGAAAATCAAGAATATAATGAACGATCTAAAGGTAAAAAACGGGAACGATATGAAGAAGAGGAACGGGAACAAACTAAAGAAAAAGAACAAGAACAATCTGACGAAAAAGAATGGGAACAATTTGATGAAGAACGGGATCAATCTGATGATGAAGAACGGGATCAATCTGACGATGAAAAACGGGATCAATCTGATGAAGAAGAGCAGGATCAATATGATGAAGAAGAACGGGATCAATCTGATGATAAAGAATGGGATCAATCTGACGATGAAAAATGGGATCAATCTTATGAAGAAGAGCGGGATCAATATGATAATGAATGGAAACAGTCTAATCAGAAACAATTTGACGATAATGAATATGTACGATGTGATGATGATGAATGGAAACGCTCTGATGATAAAGAGCAAGAACAAGGACGATTTGACAATGAAGGAGTTGAGAAAAGTAGAATGAAACAGAAAGATAGCAAAGTTAAGTTTGCTGAAGATGATTATGAATCAAAACTGTCAAACTTACGTTCCTTAATTTTATATCTTGGCCATACTGTTATTCAAGAAGTTTGGAGTGTAACAACTATCGAAAAAAATAAAGAACATTTCGTGGTATTATATGGTAATGCTAATCATTTGTGTACATGCATGTGGCTCGTAATAAGAGGGCTTGTTTGCCGTCACTTCTTTTCAGTGATGTTTAATTCGGATATGGCTATGTTCCATATTGGACTCATTCCAGCTCGATGGTATAATGATATTTTTTCTAGCACTCAAGAAGAACTTGCAATCGCAATTTGCAGCAAAAAAAATGCGCCAGATGATGACAAACTTGTATATGAACACCAAATTAGGGTGAATTTTGATATACTAAATGAAATTCGTCATATGCAACTATTTTCAGAAACTGTGAAGCAGAATCTGTCTCATAAAGCTAAATATAATGAGGGTTTTGGGTATGCAAAAAAAGCAATTGGAATGTCTCTTGAATTGGGTTGTGAAAACGAAATAAATGAGATTTTGCAAAGCTGGATAAGAAAAAAAGAAAGAGAAATTAGTGATAAGCAGCAGGGATGTACAATTGGGTTTAAAGAAAATCTTCCAAATATTAGCAACCCACATCAGGCGCGTACAAAAGGTGCTCAAAAGAAGCGTGTAAAGAACGCATTGAAAAACACTACTATTAAATACAATAATAATAAGAATAGACAAGATATGATGAAGTAAGTAAAAACTTATCTAATAAGTATTAATTTATTGAACTTAAGTAATCAATTAATTATTATGTAGATTGAATGTTAAAGCGCCAAACAAGCAATCTAGAAGCGAATTACAACCTGAAATTCCTATTCGTCAAACTAAGTACATATGTAGTTATTGTAAAGGTAACGGACATAATACCCGTAGTTGTGAACTTAAAAAGAAAGGTGTTAGAGCAAGAACCAAATAACCGAATGTTCTTAGTTTATGCTTACAAATATGCAACTAATTTGTAAATTTTGAAATAATTAAAGACTTAAATTTTGCATTTATTCAATTTTTTTGTTTATAATTCGATACTTTTGCACATTATTTTGTTAAATCATTTAAGTATATTAATTCTGGCCGAAGTTATAATTCGGTGAAAATCACCGCTGGTGAAAATCACCACCAGTGAGAATCACCACCGGTGAGCTTTAGCAATACTCAAATTTATAAGTCGGTAAATTTTATGAAATTCCGGATCCTTGTCTGGTAAAATATTTTCATTCCGGATTCTTGGCCGGTAAAATTTGATTTCTATTTTAAGCACTGGTTTTGAATGCCGTTTTTAATCTACTAATATGACCCGTGTTTAAATATCCCGTATACAAATAGAAATTGCCATAAATAAAAACAAAGTATTTTAAATTATTTTTTAATAAAACAAATATTCATAAAGTATTTTTTAACAAAATAAATACTTTTAAGTAGAGCTCCGAAAATGACTTGCATAAACTCATATTTTTGACTCGCATAATTGTAAATTTTTGTTTAATTATATTCTAACTTAATAAAAAGTACTTTAAAATTAAGGTTTTTGACTTGTGACTTGACTCAACTCGACTCATTAGGAGCTCTACTTTTAAGGTAGTTTTTTAACTAAAAAAAAGTATTTTTATTATTTTTTTAATGAAAATAAAGTATTTTTTTTAATAAAACAGTATTTATAAAGTGTTTTTTAATGAAACAAGTATTTATAAAGTTATTTTTTTTTAACAAAAAATAAAGATATATTTTTTTTGAAACAAAAATTATTTTTTAACTAAAACAAATATTTTTTAGCAATTAGTATTTATTAATGAAAATAAAGTATCTTTAAAATTAAAAAAAAAGAAAGTGTAATAAATTAAACTTGTAAAAAAAATCTATGTATAAACATAAACAAAAAAATTAGTGATTTAGTTATGTTACTGATGTGACTTTCTGATGGATTTCCAAAATATAATATAATTATAGTGCCAGAAATTTATACTTAACAATTATGTAATTTTGTTCTGAAATTCAGCTAATAAAAACCTATAATTTTTTATATAAAGTACTAATAAAATGCAGTTTTTGAAAATTTTTATTACAAACAAGATAAAACATAAGAAAAGTGGATTTCTAAAATAAAAATTTTTTTAAAAAATTACATTCATTTCAGATTATGATAATTCTGGCTGGCATTATTACAATGCATGGAATCAGTCTGAATTATCATAAATTCTGGTCAATACATTTTGTTTTAATTTGAACTGATCATATGAAAATCATGCAATTTCAAATGCTTATAACTTTCTTCTTTTAAAAATCTGACCAATAATTTGATAGAGCTTATCTTAAAGAATAAAGTTATCAGTTTATTTTTTCTAAATTGTATTTTTTTAAGAAGTTGAGTGTTACATTTTTATTGTTAAATATAGACTTCTGGCACCATATATAATTTTTTTAGTATTTTTAGTCAGGATAATAATATAAATTATAATATTTTTTTTTTATAAATTTAAATGATTTAATATAAATAATACTGTCTAACTTTTGCTAAGTGGTGAGCAATGCAAACCTACACATGTAGACAAATGTTCTACTGAAAATTGACAAATCACGTTTAATTGGTTATTATCAATAGGATGGGATATTTGTATAAATTTTCTTTATATTTCATATTTTATATAGTAATAGATTATACTAGATGATTTGCGGAAATAAATATAAATGTTATCTATTATATTAATTTCTAATGAGTAATAAATTATCTGAATTTTATTATGATTATACAAAATTACTCTAGAAAAATTTATTATCTTCTGTATGACTAAATATGTTTATTGAATATCTAAATATATATTGTATTCCAAATATAGATGTAAAATATTGTAAATGTAGCCGTAACCGTGCCATGAAAAATTTAGTCACTCACGTGATTGACACAGTATTACAATCACTCATATGACTTTGTGTAAGCACGATTTTCTATATATACACGAAAAGTTTAGAAAAAAAAAAACGCGTTTTAAATGAACTTGTTCTTTTACTTTCCCCTTTCCTTATTTTCTTAACGATACACTATTCTTTTCTTCGAGAAATATGGACTCTATGGAATCTCAAAGACTTTCATATGAACGTGTTAACTCGCGTCTTTTTTTCCAAAATAAAGAGAACTTTGACCCTGTCAATAAAACATTTGCAGGAACCCGTCATAATAATAATTTCAACCGAAGAACAAACCCAAAGTTTATGAACTATGTAGTTCAAAGGCGTTATAGGGATCCGTTGGCGGAAATTTTTATGAACACTTATCAACAAGAAGATTCTTTTATAATGATCGACACCGAAGCTGTCGCGGTTGAAATTACCTCCACTCGAGAAAAAAAGAGAAAGAAGACTCGAACTATCAAACCAGCAACTAAACCAAAGACGGAAAGCTTATTGAAATTGAGATAATGGGATAATGATTTCTTTCTTTTTATTACACTTTAATAAAAGTTCACACACAAACTTTTTTACTCTCCACCAAAATGACCAATAAAATTAATGTTACATTCTGCTAATTAAATCAAGAAAAAAAAATAATTTTCTACGCGATCATTAAATAATGTGTTTATTTATTTACGAGTTATGTAATATGTAAAAAAATTAGGTTTGCGACTTAGAAGCTTAAATCTCTTTTCAAATTTGCCAGATAATTTTGTGACAACTAAGAATAAGACAGAATAAAATGAAGAATTCAAAATTATTCTTTTTAAATTACATCGATTGATCGATTGAAAAAAAGTTATACCGCGATCACGTTTAAACGTTGCTGCGAACATTAAAATAAGTTATAATATCGCAAATATCTTTAATATTTAACGAATATGTCGTTTTATAAAGTAAATTCAAATTAAAATTACTTGGAAATACTTCATGATGATTATTGATCACTTAAAGTCTTATCATTTTAAATAATTCGTTATAAAAGGAAGGTAGATTCATGTTATTACGTAATTGTCGAATTGCAAGTCATTATCAAGTGGCGGAAGATTGGGATGATGATGATTATATAATATCGATGAATACGGTAATATTTTATTCGCGTTGATATATCATTAGATTAATAAATAAATATATAATACCATTTCTTCTAATATAGGCTAGATCATTATCCTCATACAACTATTACTCGAAAACGGAACTTCAACCCGTACAAATTTATCCATACAAATGAATACCAACAACAATATAGATTTGAAAGTGGCCAAGCGCTTATTGGACTATGTAATTTTCGAATGTGCACATCTAAAAACCTTACCATCAGGACAATTCTATCCAGGAGAAACTCCTCGTTCCCTCAATAAACCCCCATTGGCTTTAATTTTACGTATTATAACTAATGAAATATGTATAGTCTTGGTTGAGAAAAAAAAAGAAATTTCGATCCCCTTAGAACAACTTCGTAGATTTGCAATTAATGAGAAGCGTGATATTGAATTGGAAATGAAGAGAAAATTTAGAAAATTTGTAAGTAGCTTATATTTAATGTGGCGCAGTATATAACGGCTAAAAATTGATTTTGTTAGTTTTATGAATACCCTCTTGGAGAAATTGATTTTCGAATTCAGATAGCAATTGATCCTTTAGGAGGTCTTTTAGATGATACCACAACAATTGTTTTCAGCCCGTGTGATTACGTTGAAGATAAACGATACTTAAAACTAAGTAATGAAATGAAAAGATTAAGATTCAATAAGGTAAAGAGATTAATTTCCTTTTTTATTTTTAATTAAAAGTGATTAATAAATAAATTTAATACTTATCAAAGGAGAATCCAAAAAAACAAATTCCTCAGCTTAATGATCAAGAAAAATCAGATAAGCTTCAACACAATGAATCCTCAGATATGAATCAAGTCAGCACCTGCCAACATATTCAATCTTTTAATGATCATAAGCGATCTTTCAATCAGGAACCACAATATAATTGTAAAAATCTAAATATTACAGGTGATGGCGTTAAATCTTTTGAGAAAGATTATCCTTCTAAATTTGTAGTTACTGCGCAAAATGTCGAAAAGGTAAATGATAATCGTATGATTTTAAGCTAAATTTGTACATTAATTACTATTCTCTTTTTGGCTAGCCTAATGTTACTAAAGGAGAACCTGTGCATTTTCGCAACAAATCAATTGCTGAATGGATCAGCAAAACTAATAACGAAAATATAATGGTAAGAAAACAATTCTGGTGTCTTATTTTTACTGATTGTATCATTTTTCAATACTAAAAACATTACCGATAAAGGATTCACCGATGACTCCCCCCACTATTAAGTCTAGAGAAGAAGCAACTATACAACTTGAGAAGCAAGTTAATAATTTATTCATTACATCTGTAGCTAATGGAGAACCAAATCACAGTCTTCTTGATATGGACGACAGAGTAAATTAAATTAATTTATATTATTATCTTTACCAGAAGGTCTTTTAACTAAAGATTCAGTTTATAATAGGAAATAATGAACCTTACGCGTAATATTAAGGACCCTATTTCTGTGTCCAAACTAATTAATCGCCATGAGGTAACATCATGTTTTGATTTTTTAAAAGTAGATTAATATTAAGTTGTGATTTGCTTATTACAGGCTCTCTCTGATAAACGATATGAAAATGAAAATTCGAATACTTCGTTTATAACAGAGGTAAATATGATTTATTATTTTATTATAACCATTGATCTTTCCTTTTTTTAATATTGTATATGTACTTAAATGGTATTGATTCTTAAGGCTCAATTATACATTACTTTCGCATTTCTCATCCAAAATTATGTGATTGTAATTCCCTACGAGACTTCTCTTAAAGACTTGATTAATACAATTGAACAACGATATAATGTAAAAGTTAATCATAGTAACTTATATTTCAAGAATGCTGTTAATGATAGAATAAATATTGTGGATGAAGAGGATTGGCTTGTAGCTAGATTTGAGGCAAAAGAAATTATGAATAATAAGATTGTCTTATACTTTTCTTAAATTGAAATTTATATGAAATGGTAGGAAATAATTTAGTTGAATTTATTTCATTAATAATAAATTGCAATTCATGCTTCTTTATATGTAAAATCCTTAATCTGTAAAAAATGTTGGTCCGTGTTTTGTATTCCATATCTATATACCGAAAACCGACTTTTCTATCATGGGTTTAACAGAAATATAAAGATATAACGGATTCCGTTTATTATTTGAAACGAAAATGTATAACTTCTTTGCGAAATCAGAAATTTTTGCTTACGTGTTTGTTAGTCATTAGTAGGTTTGAGTCGAGAGAACTTTTGTGACATTTGGTAATATGAAATCAGAAAGCCGGCCCCTCATTTTGTAATATTAAAATACTAAAAAAATTATTCACTAAAGACCCGCGAAAAAAGTAGGGTTTATTGCATTTTTGGATAGAGAAACCTGAAAACGTTAATTTCAGAGCAGAAAACTTAATTCTTCGGCAAGTTTGCCTATAAGCGACCTTTTGAGATTTCGTGTAACCTAAAAGTTAACTTACCTAAGAGGATTTTCCGTTCTAAAATCAAGGTTTTCATGTTATAATCGCACCTTCTCCATCCAAAAATTTACTGTTTCGTGGGTTTCAAGAAAATTCATTTTTTTTTTTTATTTTATTTTTCCTGTTTATACTGTTTACAGTAATTCGAAAACGGCGATAAATCTTTAATCCTAAAATTAATCAACTACTAATTATAGCAGACCAGGCATCTTGGCTGACTGATAATTCGGGCACAATTTCTTTGAAATTAACAGAAGCAAAATAATTTAGCGGATGAAAAGGATGAAACCCATAAAGTAAACCAACAATATATACAATTGGTTTATACCGACTATAACAAATTTACTTACATCTTTCGTTCTTACTTTAAACGCTTCACCGTGATCTGCAATTACTAGGACGGGCTAGCGTATGAAGCATTTTTATCTCTCCTCAAGTTCAAAACCGCTGACTCAAAATACACGAAATGCCAATTGAACAAGTCATATGGCATTGCTGATCTTTGATTAGCTGTTACAACTGTTAAGATGTATATAGAGTATATTAAACATTAAAAAACACCATAATTTATTTAGATCTTTTTAGCTTGATTATTATAAATAAAATTAATTTGATTGGTTGATTTTGAGCCAGCATCACCAATTCGTACCGAATAGGTGATTTATCCGAAATTTTGAGATTATATGCACTTGATTATTTTTAACCTTTTTTAATGCTCTTATTCTCTTTGCCACTTTCTTTAAAAATTTAAAAAATAACTGGTCAGTCCTACTTTAAACCTACAGCTGGTGAGATCGAAAAAGCACAACAATTGTTAGTATTATCAATACTATGAAAACTTTTGCCTACAAATAATCATCAGTCTCTTACAAAGCAGATCAAAAAACGGAAAAATTTTGGATTTGATAGTTCCTAAGTTCCAGATTTAGTAATTAAGGAACCCACATATGATTTTTTAACGCTAATGTTATTAAGAATATAACAAATTGAAAGAAAATTGCGATACCAAAAATAGTAATAGTATTATATTATGATGAATCTTTTTATCAAGATAGTAATACAAATAATTTAGAAATAAGTGATCTTGCTTTAGCATATACAGTAAATATGAAAATGAGAGGGTGCTGTAAAAAATACTGATAGACTGATAATAATATCTGATTAATATGAAATTATTGTAACTAGTTTTCAATGTAAAATATCAATAATTACAACTTTTGAATAAATTGTTATTTTTAAATAAATTATCTTGGAAGAATTCTCAAACAAACGGCATTCAAACTAAAAAAAATGCACGCCAAAAGCAAGTTATCGCCAAGAAATAAAACAATTAGTTGATATCTTTTAATGATTTCAATGATCTCAATCACTGTTGAACAAATTAAATATATTTTCAAGTGGGAATTGGCACTTGTGTCATGCCGAAATTAGCGAATACTTGTTAAAAATTATAAGATGTACATGCGGAAAGACAATCAATAAATGGTAATTGAATAAAATAAAATAAATAAACAAACATATAAAAATGATATGTGACGGATGATCGGGGTTTACGTTTCGCGTTTTTTGTCAATATGCTACAGCAAAATGGCCTTTTTCAATTGATTTCTGTTGGTATGCCAGAGACTACAATACTCATAACCGTCACTGACTACACTGTGGCCGTTTAGTTTGAGACTCAAAAAAATGAGTTACTAAAATAGAAAGGAAATGGCAGATTTTTTTTTGGTAAGAGAATCGTCAAATCGGCGAAGAAAAAGATTTGGCTTGTAAAGAGTTGAAAAGAAGTTTATAATTCCGGAACTTTTTATTGCTTATTGATCTTGAACTTTATAAGATTCCTTTATACCCTACTCCTATTGCGCCGTAGAAATGGAAATTCAACCCGATTTACTTAAATGAGCAGATTAACATATCTGAATTGTTTATGTGCAAACTCATCATACGAAGATATGGCTCGTCGCTTTGTTAGCCAAGCAAGTCCTTGGTCATGGAATGAAAGCAAAAAATCGATGTTCACAATTACAATTACATTGACAACGGGATCGCCAGGATGTTAAAAATGAAGAAAAGAATTTTATCATTATATCATATATAAGAGAAATTTTACGATACTAACTCTGCCACTCGTGCATTTATAACATCTCCAGATGTATAACTGCATTTGTGCTCATAAATGCCGATGGAAATCTTTAAATTAATTGGTCACACTAAAAAGTATGACCTAGTCAAGACACGCCGAGAATCGAGTCTATTAGAGTTGAAATGGATAAAAAAGTAACCGTATTCAATCGCAACAACCATTTTCTAAATGGAACGTAAAGGATTTTTGAGAATTACCTGTTTTAAATAAAGCCAAGGGCAAATTTTCTAGTGGTTGAAATTTAAAGGGCATTTAGATAACATTTCAGATAAAATGTTGATCGAGTGTCTATTAACTGTGAGCTAATAAAATCAAAATATTTTCTCGTGACTATATATACAAAGTATTATATTATTTCTTTGAAATGCTATTTAGTCATATTTAACTATATATATATATATATATATAAAATGATTCTGAACAATTTTCTTCAACAGATGCTCTCTGGATGGTGATGATGAATATGGCGAGAATTCATCGTGTGAACCCGCTGCTCTCGTTGGGTAGTGCAGTAGTAATTGTAAAATTTTTTGCCCATATTATGAAACCAACCTTAAGAAACAAGGATTTTTACCACTCATAATCGCCAGCTCATTTTAATACGATAAGATTGATCCATCTGATAAAGTATCCATTATTAGTCTTACTATATTTGCTTCAACACTTGACTTAATAAGAATATTCCTGTTAAACATACATTTAATCAAAATCAAAATCAAATTGAATAGTTTAAAATAGAATCAACTTTGAATCGCATGGTTGAACAATGTTCATATAAAATTAATAAATATTATTTCGAAAATTTGAGAGAAAAAGCAATGATTGTGACTTTGTATAATGTAAAAAAGATAATATGATTATTGAGTTTAGTAATAATAAATAATAATTTCGATATTGTGAGAAATTATATATTAAATTCTGTTATTTCTATTAAAAAAAAATAAATCAGAAAAATTCTTGAGTTAATTAATTGGCAAATAAAATCAATTACTAAATATCGAATCTGCAAGATATTTATATATTAGCGCATTAATAGTTAATAAAACTAGGTAAAATAAAATTTTCATAAAAGAAAAATCATCATCACAAAAACAAAGGGTAATGTGCAGATATTATTCACCACCTCCGGTATCGATACCTGGCGGTGGAGGAGGTTGAGTTGAGCTTCCTCCATTACCGCCACTACTAGCTTGTCTTTTTGCTTTTTTAGCCCACCTAAGTCCACATGCATTACATAACCTTTAAAATGACATTTTGCAATAATTATTATTGCAATATGCAGATTTTGCGAAGGATATACAAAAACGATGTCACACATTATTTGCAATTTTTTTTGCAATAAAAATTAGTAATGTTTTTATAAAACAAATTTAAAATTCCAACAATAAAAAGTATTAAATAAAATAAGTATTATCACATACGTCTTTGGTCCTTGTGGACCTTTTCTCCATTCAGGTGATTCTACAGTACCACAATCCGTACAGACATATTCTTCTTCTTCGACTTTAGGTTTTTTCTAAAATTAAAGAAATAAATGAAGAATTCAAAAGATGTAAAAAAGCTCATCACTTGATAAGATAACAAACCTTCTTTCGAGGTTTCGATGGAGAAGTTGTGGTAGTCGATGAAGGTTGGGGAGCAGGTTCGGAGATTTGCGTAGATAAAAGGTTGTCGTCTCTTGAAGACGGCGTTGCTAGAGATGATGCCATATCTACATCCATTAAACTTACGTTCAGTAAAGTTGGGTTATTAGAGCCAGTGGAAATTCCTCTGGCACGCTCACCCTCCTGGTATCGTAAACCGGTCAATAATTCTAACGGATTACTTGTATCATGAAGTAGATTTTCCACAGAACGGCCTTCAGGGATAGAAGTTGACCCTCCGGTAGTAGAAGTAGTGGTGTTAACTGTACTGACACTGCCGCTGCCGCTAGCCTCAGCTGGAGTTTCCGATGGTCCAATTAACTCGCGAAGTTGACGACGCAGATTTTCATTTTCGACTTTCAATTCCAAAAATGAATCTAACATTGCCGTTGTTTTTGATGGGTAAGTTCTACCCATACTGAAAAAGCATTTACAATTACCAGTAGTGTTATTTTCACCAAAGTAAGGATGTCCATTAACCTCAAGAATTATATATTTATCATCTTTCTTGCGAAATCGATAATAAAGAGTGAAACTAGTTTTATTTTGTATGGCCAACCCGAAATCTCTAAGAAACATATCGACGTCATCGACATGGATAAAGTCTGTTATAGTGCGATTCACTAATTCTTCGGGAGTATAACCGACCAGCTCGGTTGAAGAAGGTGAACAATACATGAGCTTCCCTGTTGGGGAAATAACATGCAAAAAATCTTTTAGCTCTTCAATTATCCGTTGTGACCAATTCTTTCTCTTTGTAAACTCTGTCATATTCGTCGGTGCACTACTACCGCTAGTGGTAGCAACAGCGTTAGACCCTGAAGGAACAACGGAGGTAGAAGAACTAACAATAGCATTTCCGCTACCTCCAACTCCAACTACACTCCTTGAAGATCCAAGGTTGGCGGCTGCGGCAGCAGCAGGATAACCTTCGCTCAGGATTTTCCGGTCCATCAAAAGTCGTTGGTATTCTGGTGTATTTGGATTAAAATCATCCATCAAATTATTGAAGACTTTTAGCATTAAAACGAGCGACAAATATAGTATATTTATAGTCGATTTGAATGGCAAGATCCCAGAAAAGCTAGTAGTTTTTTTATACGCCGGAATTACCAAAAGTGGGTGGCGATGATCTTATCTTTTTTGTTCAGAGAATGTCGACAGAATATTCTGTGATCGGCACAATAATTTGATGACAGTAATCAGGTGATTGTATAACTTAATGGGATTGATCTTTATGCGCATAAAATTGAATTAACTGATGTTTAGAACGCTTTTCTTTTTTAACCTTAGTATACATTATTTATATTGCGCAAATTTAACATTATTCCTTATAATTTTTTTTTAAGAAAGTTACATAACATATATGTTGAAGGCAATTTGGAATTCCTAAATTTTTGAAGATCTAATAATGGAAAAAGATATTTTTAAAAAAAACTTAAATAATACAGTAGGGGTTATAAGTAACCGATTCCTGAAATCAAGTAATAACAATTTTTTAACTAACCTTGATAACATGCAAATTTATAGGCTATATAATAAAGAGAATGCTCTAAGATATGTTTGGTATTACGAGGATCCATACGTAGTCATTGGATAAAAAACTTTAAATGCTTTTCTGATTCACTGTTATTTTTTTGACCATAATAATTTATTCATTCAGAATTACACAAAAAATCAAATAAAATTTCTTTAATATACACACCACATCATATGAAGCATACACATGTTAAAATCATGAGCCCAATGTGTGAGCAAACGTCCTGTCGGGAAAATGGATGTTGAGATTTTGGTTGACACCGGAAAAAATTGCCTATGCAGATTTGCTTTAATGTTATTGACTTACTAATTTAATTTCCTGATATATAATAATATTTTATTAAATAAAATTGTAAAGATGAACTTTTTCTGAAGATCATTATGTCCACTTTACTAAAAATGGCCAATTTTTTGAAATATTTTTATAGACCTAGATACAATAGCTTTCAAAACAATTGTACAATTATTTTGTAAAATTTTTAAAATATATCAAGATATATTTGAGGTATTTTTGAGATTAAAATATTAAAATAATATCAAAGTTAATTATATTATAATAATAAAATAATAACAAAAACATTAAAAAATTATTGTGATATTATTATGAGTTATTTTTATAGACCTAGATACAATATAATTACAAAATAATAACAAAAATATAATAAACCCATTTTGATGTATTAAATGTATTTTTGTAGTATTTCAAAATTATTACAAAATCATTTCAAAAAATTGGCCATTTTTAGTAAAGCATTTTTTTTGCAGAAAAAATAATTTTTATTATTATAAACTTATGCATAAAAATAACTTTTACAACAAAAATTACGCAAGTATCTGATGACATAAACTCAATTTATTGTATACTTTATTATAAATAAAATAAATAAAATAAAGTTTGTTATTTCAGTGAATTTAATAATATCAGAAATATAGCTAAGAACAGAAAAACTCTTGTTTAATATACTGTGATAATGCTTAAAGCACTTATGAAATCTAGTAAAATGGGAATATCCCAAACACTTTAAACAGTTATATTGCAAGCAGAGTATAATAAGCTGTTAAATATTCAAAAGCTCTATAAAAACTTCTTTCATATCTTAGTATTGAAGATGACTTGCAAGTTGCTCAGCTTATGTTTTTCTTTACTCTTTTGCTAAATACAATCAAACCTTTATATAACGATATGTTAGAACATATATGGAATTTTTAGAAAATATCATTATATTAAAGTTATACTGATATTTATATGTCCTCACATATAGTGGGAAATTAAAATTTTATCAGTATAACAAGTTTTGAATAGTATATCAGTATATCGAATATCGGTATATCGAGGTTAGACTGTAAAGGACCCCGGATATCTCCAAAACAGGTCATAAGTCACACTTTCGGCAGATTGGCCCATTTTTCAGGGGCTCAAAAAATCGTTTTTTGTAAATATCTCGGCATCCAGTGGTCCAATTTTGATGAACTTTTTTTAAATTGTAGAGCTAAATGAGGGCTACAAAATAAAAAAAAGTTCATTAAAATTGAATTACTGGATGCTGAGATATTTACAAAAAACGATTTTTTGAGTTTTAGCAAAAAGGGGTGTTTTTGGCCAAAAGTCCATTATGACCTTTATATTAGATATCCGGGGTCCTGACTGTAATATGAAGTTGCTATAAAGAATAGATTATTTATAGTCTTTCTTATCAAATAACTATACATGTTGTTTAAATTATTTTGAACTGCTATAATCATAAGTAAAATTTTATTATTTTGGCACTTTATATAGTAAATTACTGTATATCGTAAATCACAGTACTCCAAGTATCTTGCAAATTTTAAGTATTTGGACCTGTATCTGAAAGTAAATTACATAAGTAGATACTATACATAGAAGGGGTATAGGATTTTTAAAATACCCAGAGTACTTATTATATATAATATATAATTTCTTATTAAAAATTTCTAAATGTATATAGTCAACCCTTGTTATAATGAACTTTAAGGTCCAGACCTTAACTTCGCTATAAGACTATAGTGAAGATTTTAAGAGATTTGATTGGTTAATTCATTATAGCAAAGGGAAATTTATTATAGTTGTCTAAAAAATTCACTATATCAAGAGTTCGCTATATTAAGATTTGACTGTACTATTTTTCATATTTTGATACTTTTTTAAGATATTTTATACAAAATTACTTATCTAAATACCTATTTATATATATAATATCTTTATTTAATTTACATGTCTTTATTTTATGCATTTTTTTTTCTTTCTATTAAAAGTAAAATAGTAGTTATTGGTAACAAGAAAAATAAAAAAACATGCAATCATTTATCACAAAAGAAATGAAGATAATGAAATGCAAGAAAAAATTAATAATAATATATTATTATGAAAACAATAATAGAAATATATGTGGAATTGCCAAAAGATTTAATATTCAGTTCAAACAACTGCATAATTGAAAAAATAAAAAAGAAACTTTGTTAATAACTATTCCTTATATGGCTAAGCTTCATTCAGGTAAACCTGCCAGATTTTTGAAATTAGAAAATAATTTATTTGCATAAATAAGTGAAAAAAAGTTAATACAGTGCGGTACCTCTATAACTGACCCAATTTTATAGTCATAATGTGACATTTTCAAAAAGATGTCACATTAGCAAAAAATAATATTTTAAAATTCTAACTGATAATTTTAATAAAGTATATTAAGAGCTTTTAAACTGATCAGGTTAAATTAAAAAATAATAAATTTTGCTAGTATTACATAAGTTTGAAGTTCAGGTAATTTATTATGATAGGAAAAATTTGAAAATAAGTGATTTTTGTGTAATATAAAAAAAAATAATCGTTTGATAGTGCTTATTAAAATAAACCATTTTAGCTTATAAACTTATCTATGCTTTGTTAAAAAAATTTTGAAAAAAATTAAAAAAATTTTGGTAGTATTTATTTATTACAAATTATATTATGCCTATTTCTCAAAAAGGAATTACAGAAAAACTTGCTAAAAAAATATAAATTCTATAGAAAAGTTCCTAATGATATAGATATACTTAATCAAATCACTTTTAAATAATTATAATAAATAATAAATTGTATATAAAAAATTATGTATAATTCTAATTAACATTAAGTATTGCATTAGCCAACTTTACAGAAATTTTAAGTTTTCAAGTGATATCATTTTGATATCAATTTAATATTGATATAATATCGAAATAAAGTATTATCATTTTGATATCATTTCAATATTAAATCAATATTAAAATGATATTAAAATGATAATAGAAATGATATCAAAACAACATCTTTAAGTTTAATTTAAAGATGTCATTTTGATATCATTTTAATTATCATTTCAATATCATTTTAATATCAAAATGATATCAAAATGATAATACTTTATTTTGATATCATATCGATATTAAATCAATATTGCAATGATATCAAAATGATACTGTTAAGATAAACTTAACAATATCGATTTTATATTGATTAAAAATGTTAAGTTTCTATAAAGAATCAAATTTATTTTAAGTCATGTGATTTTGTATTATGTCAGCAAAAAAAATCAAGAAAATTTTTTTATTTGCTTAATGTATTTATCTTTTTAAAAGCTATCTAATTTTAAAATTTTATAAAATTCTGACCATTAGATTATAAGATATAAGGGATACCTATTATAGAGGTACCGTACTGTAGAAATAATGCCATTACCTGAAAATTAATTATCAATAAAGCCATTTTTTTATCTAAAAGTTCAGAATTATTAGCAAATAATCTGGGTATTGCTGTGTTCAAATTTTCCAATAAATAACTTAATGGATTTCTAGAAAGATATGACTTTAGTAAGCATTAAAGAATAACAGTAGTATAACAACTACCATTAGATTTAATTAAAAAGCAAAATATTTTTTAAGTAATATTATATATCTAAGAATTCACAATAAATATAAACTAAAATATATAGGCAATATAGATGAAATGTCTATATGGTTTGATTTGCTAAGTAATATAACTATAAACTAAAAAGAAGTAAAAATAGTAAATATTTATACAACTAATTATGAACAATCATCATTTACAGTTATATTTACATATATATTATAGATACTTTGCAGTAAAAAAGGATAAAACTACTGAAAAAATTCAAATTTTCTTTTATATGCCAAAAATATTCTAAATGCTATAATTTGTTTAGACTTTATATTAACTTATTTTTTATTTTTTTTTAGTAGTTTCATCTCTTTTTACTGCAAAGCGCCCATATGACTGATAGTATGAAGCTTTTTACAGTTTGCATTTTCAAACTGAAAAATATTTTAAAGAAAAATTTCCATATGGTATTTATATAAAACTAATGAAAAAGGGTGAATTAATAAACAGGAAATGTTGTAGTAGGTTGAGAACGTTTAAACTTCAAGAAACTGTTTTAGAAATTTACATTTTATATTATATTAAA